TTTTTTCGACTCGAAACCTAAATAAATAGCTTTAGAATTTATTAGGGAGGAGATTAGAAAAAGTTTGAACCAAATCGGCGCAGGCGTTGCCGAGTTATGACCGAAAAAGCAACATTTTACCCCCCATTCCGCGATTTCCTGGGTTGTGAGTATAAAGTTGAAAGATACAAGTATCAATACGCGTAGTGGCGCGGGGTAAAACCGGGGGGACCCCGAATTTTACTGTCAACAGCAATGAAAGATACAAGTATCAATACGCGTAGTGGCGCGGGGTAAAACCGGGGGGACCCCGAATTTTACTGTCAACAGCAACGAGTTTTCTGTTGGTAAACCGCCTTATGACTCCACCATGTTTGTTTTGGGAGCAAGTTACGAGGAATTAACCTCGGAATACTTTAGAGAATTTCCGGTCACATGCATGAGAAAATATTCGAATACCTAAAAACTTACTTCAGGGATAACTTTCTAAGCTTTGCACAATTATTCTGTTTCATGGCTGTTTAGTGTTTACCTCAATTGCTATCATTAAATTATTGTATAATTTTTATGCGTGCTTTGTAGTATAGCGTCTTCCTCCTCCATAACGCATGTACGGCGGCTCATCGCTGTATTTCCATAACAATTAAGGAAGATCCTTATGAAAATTCTTGCTTAATGTTTGATTACCACGTGATAAGATGCAGGTAATTGTTTCAAAAGTCTTGTGGATTTGTATTCTCCGGGCAGAACTAAAAACGGCATGACAGTTCACAATCCTGGAATGTATTGATACTAAAACCGTTATTGCCCTACCGAGCCATTAGAAGGCGTCAATTTAAGGCAGGAGAGATCAATATCTCGTCTCATGAAATACTTTTTTCGTATTGATATGAATGCTTCAAAACATAACGACTCGAAAAAAGTACAAAAAGCAAGGTCCGAGAAAAATGACAAATTATCAGCTGCTATGAGGCTGCAGCACGTACGTTGTGAAGACTAAATACAGCGCACAGACAAATAACTTTGTGATACATGATCTCCTATGAATGCATCAGCCATTCCCGAGTGATGAGTTACTGGCGCACCAGGTAGCGTTTTAATACAGAGAACGATTGATACGTCTTTAAATTTTGTTATAAGATAAACTTGATGAGAACAATAGTCCCTTTTAATAAATGAATGACTACTTTGTAAATCGATTGGACGCCAGAACAATAGCATCGACCATCCTTCCATTTGTTGTCTCGGGATTGACTTCGTGAATGGCCAGTATTTATATCAGGCCCCGCGATGATGAATAGAAGCTATATTGGTCGCTTCAAACGATAGAATATATAAAAAATAAAGCTTGTTCCTGAGCATGTTTGAAGTTGAGTGCAATAATAGACTGCGCAGCCATTCATGAAGCATCAGAGACGCGGTCACTAACTTCCTTTCTCTCCTGTCATCCTCTGTCTATTATGTTATAGATTCAAATACAAAGGAGTCACTGCTTCATCTGAAAAATTACGTTGTCTATTGTAACATGTAATGCTTGTTAGTCTTTGTCCGTTGAAATAACCTTTGTCCATTTGTCTGGATATCCAGTTTATTTTTTTGTTCTTCCACGGGAATAATCTTCAAATAAATTAGATCAATTATGATCAATTAATGTTGAACCCATATTGACCAATTGATAAAATCAAATTGGATTTTAAATAATTAATTATATTATAATTTCCTTAATAAGAAAAAATCTTCAGAGGTCACATGGTTCATTCTTTCTAAAAAATGTTAGGAAACTTACCCTTTTACTACTGACGGCGACGTGATGACCACGCGTGGGTGGATGAGAGCCCCGGACCCCAAGATCCCCCCGCCATCCTCAGCGAGGAGCACAGACCACGGCAACTCCCCCAGGCTCACGTCACTCACGAGGTCTTGGGGAGCGGCGTCGGAGGCCTGCAGAATAAAACCACTTATTTACTTATTGTTCTTACATAACTTTTCATAAGCAAAATAACAGTAGGAGCTCTGAATGACCGGAATTAGCAAAGCTTGCGTGGGGCTTTAGTTATTTGTCTGAAATTAAAGACTCACTGAGAAGACGGGGGCGCTTGTGTATGCCGAGCAGCGCCCATCCTCCGTGAAGCTCCCCAGTGCGCTGAAGTGACCGCGCTGCGCCGGGCTTGTCGGTCCCTCGGTGGCCTTCCCGACATCCGCCGGGTCCGTCGTCGCCACGGTGGCCTTCCCGACAGCCGCCGGGTCCGTCGTCACCTCGCTGGCCTTCCCGACAGCCGCCGGTTCCGTCGTCACCTCGCTGGCCTTCCCGACAGCCGCCGGGTCCGTCGTCGCCACGGTGGCCTTCCCGCCAGCCGCCGGGTCCGTCGTCGCCACGGTGGCCTTCCCGCCAGCCGCCGGGTCCGTCGTCGCCACGGTGGCCTTCCCGACAGCCGCCGGGGTTACGGCTTCAGCGGCAGGAGTTGCATCGACGGCAACGTTGGTCTCGTCGGCGGTCGTTGTAGGGAGGTTGGAAGGCAAGTCGTTCGTGATGTTTTGCCTATTTAATTGATCAAGCCGTCCACCCGTGACATCATCTACGCTTGTTGTAGGTTGGTTTGCACTCAAGTTCCGCATTTCCTGATCTACGTTTGTCAGTATCCAGTTTCTGTGATGAATTATCGAGGAATAAATGTCTGGAGTACCAACTTCTCCACACTCAACTCCTCCTGACAGCACTCCGACCAGCAGGTAGTGCTGGCTTGTGAAGCTCGGGCACACCAAAGGCGCTCCTTGGTCTCCCTGAGAAGAAAAACTCCTTCAATTTTTAGATACTTGCCTAGTTCTACTAGTTTATCTTAGCCATGCTCAATTTTCAGCACTAAATTTTGCTTTCAGTTTACCATAAACGAATTATGAAGTACACTACCTTCTGTAAATGAATATAGAATTATATTATTCTATTTGCACAGTTTTGTACATTTCTTATACAAGCTCAAACTGATTAATGCTCCTTAATGCTCTGTTGCTATACATATATGTACTTGTATATGATTAAAATTTTAGAAACTTGGCAGCACTTACGTTCAAGTCAAAAAATGAAACGTATACAGTAGGACCAGAACGTAAACTGGTGAAATTATTACAAATTTTCTCTCAGATTGCTTTTCACACCGTTTTTATTAGTTGATGAATTATAATCAATGAATGATGCTTTTCGAATTTTTTCAGTGCATTTTAAATAAAATTAACATACATTTTCTTAAAGCTAATGCTAACCTAAACTTCCACGATCAAATGAAATGCTTGGTTTACCTGACACACGCTCGGTCCACCAACACCTCCACTGCACAGGTAAGACTCCGGCAGGGAGAAGTCCGGCCCCAACACCTGCTTCAGCGCCCCCTCACAGGCAGGCTGGGGGAGCGCCGAGCCCATGATCCGCTTCTGGATGACTTCAAGCTCACGCGCGTCTGGGGTTAGAGTAGCGGGATAAGTGTTTAAAACTTGCATGACATTTATCTTCAACATTCATCAAAAGAAAAATACAATTTCTTCAGCTAGCGAATTTATTAATAGAGAGGCAATAAATTCATATCAAATTCATTGATTTGACATAAACCAGATTTTTTGCAAACATGTAACAACTATGTACCGCAGGAATATATTTAATAAAAAAGAACACATATGCAATATAACGCATAGTTACTTGAAGCTATAGTGCCCCATCCGTTGACGACACAGCGGCCGCGGTCGACCTCCTCCAGGTGCTGTGCTAGACACACGCTCTGCACGTGAGGTCCTCCACGAGCAGCCCTCTGCAACAGAGACATCACTCTACACCACCATCACTCTACCCCACCATCACTCTACACTGCGGGGTGGGGAGGCCATCACTCTACACCACTGCAGGGTGGCGAGGTCATCACTCTACACCACTGCGGGGTGGGGAGGCCATCACTCTACACCACTGCGGGGTGTGGAGGTCATCACTCTACACCACTGCGGGGTGTGGAGGCCATCACTCTACACCACTGCAGGGTGTGGAGACCATCACTCTACACCACTGCAGGGTGTGGAGACCATCACTCTACACCACTGCAGGGTGTGGAGACCATCACTCTACACCACTGCAGGGTGTGGAGGTCATCACTCTACACCACTGCAGGGTGGGGAGACCATCACTCTACACCACTGCAGGGTGTGGAGACCATCACTCTACACCACTGCAGGGTGTGGAGGCCATCACTCTACACCACTGCAGGGTGGGGAGGCCATCACTCTACACCACTGCAGGGTGGGGAGGCCATCACTCTACACCACTACAGGATGGTGTGACGCAGTGCTCATGTATACCAGGCACTATAATGCTCCATTGAGGCTCAATTAGTTTCGATTAGCATTGATCAGCCGTTGAAAACAACTAGAAATAAGTCAGAATTTTTGCTCGGAAATACGACAAAGATCCTTAAATTCCGTTAAAAGTATAGATTTATTTCTGAAGTTCGATTTATTTCTGACAAAACATCTTAGATATGCGTATAAATTTATTTGAACAATTTTTATGCAGTAATGGGGAGTTTTCTTAGGATTTTGAGAGGAAACACCTAATTTACTGGCTGGCTTGTCAACACAGTGGATCTGCATTATGTTCATCGGGTTCTCGTCGTCCAACTGGAAATCCGATAGAGCAACTTGTGTAATTTTTTTATACAATAAATAAATTAAACCAAGTTTGTTTCATTCAATAATAATTCCATTCAATTCAATTCACTTAATAATTGAATTCATTTTTAATTCATAAAGATCAGCACTTGCGTTTCATTGTTGGTGATCATGACCCAAGTAGCACACACGAATGTTTGTCACAAAAATTTTATGATCAATCTAATTTTAATTTATTTTTTAATTAAATATAGTTAATATAATATATAATATAATTAATATAATTAAATATAATATAATAATTTTTTTTAATTTTCAAATTTTATGATCAATCGCAGGCTTTACCTCCAACACGATGAGCGCAATGTCGTTATGGGTCTCATTCAAATGAGGATGAAAGATGATTTTCTCTGCCGCCATGTGCTGGGCGGGATGAGCTTCAGAGCCGCTGGTTCTGTCCCACTCGCCCAGCACCACTCGCAGCGACGCGCTGGTCGAGCTGGCGACAGGTTCGTATCAATATAGACTAGACGTCGAGTCCTCACATCTACAACAGCTTCGACGTTTCTAACATACATCCATTACATACATCATATTTATATAGTAAATTGATTATTAACTTCGATAGATAACGCCCAGCACTACCCGCAGCGACGCGCTGGTCGAGCTGGCGACAGGTACGCATTGTCAATATAAACTAGACGTCGAGTCCTCACATCACTTATACAACAGCTTAGACGTTTCTGACAAACATCATAATTTTAAATAAATTGATTATTAACTTCGATAGATAAATCACTCAAGTTATTGATTATGTAGACGCTTATGGTTATATAGCATATTTATGTAGACGCTTATGGTTATATAGCATATTTATGTAGACGCTTATGGTTATACGGCATACTTATAGACTGAAGGAAATAACGGAATTGTCGTCTTTAAATTTGATTGGGTACATTAGAAATATTTTCAGATTCAACGCGAATGAGTATCAAAAATTGAATAGGTTCATTAATGTCGTATTAATTACTTCCTGAGGAAGGTAGCAGCTGTGACCACGACGCGTGGGTGTATGAGGGCCCCCGCCCCCAGGACAGCGCCCTGGGTGCTCTGCAGCAGCGCCACCCACGGCATCTCCCCAGGCTGCGACTGGTGGGCGGCCAGTGGCACATCGTTCGCCTGCAGCGTAGGGGCAAACTCTAACTTATCTTCATAAAAGATTCAAGCTCGAATATTAAAGCGCGCTTGTAAATATTATTGTTCGATTTGGAGAAAAAATAAATAAATTGAGCAACAGGTTCAAAAATTGAAGTGCTGTAGATTTCTGACAGCGCGAAAAATTGCTTATACAAATCTAGTTTATTAGTTTAACACACAACCGGCGGGTAAAATTTCCAGTTTTGCCATTTCTATTGAAAAGGTAACGGCCGCAAAAATTTTTGTAAGATTTAAACTTGGTTAGGAGATATTAGCGTATATATGTAATAATTAAAGGGAAATGCAATCATAATTAAAGGAGCGGATAGCTCACAATTCAAAGTGGACGGATCACTCACTTTGCGGGTCTGCAAAATTGCCATGGGTCTGCCCATGGCAAAAATTCAACAAAAGTTTTCCCTCGCAGTAAGAGTCGAGTGATGGACCAACACAACTTACACGAAGCGATTTTGTTCTTACCTATTCGTCTATAGCCTTCAATAACAATTTCGTTCGAAAATACTATATTTTGCTTTTCTCCGTACTGTTAGGGTCACGACCAATAAAAGAAAATTCTGCCTAACATGTTATGAATATTATTTGAACAGACGTGAACAGAAACTCACCCTGATGTATCCAGGATGGTTGTAGAGCGAGCAACCACCCTCCCCGAAGCTGCCCATTAATGTCGTTTGGTCGTCGAAACTGCGTTCAGGAGCCGAAGACGCATTAACATTCAAAGACTGAGTGGGAGAAACTTCAGGCAACTTTGTTGCGCTTTTTCCTTCACCTGCGCTGATCGCTTGAATCTCGCCTGCTTTCACTGTTTGGCCTGCAGATGAATCCGATTCACGGTTTCCCTTGGTTGAACTTAGTGCACCATCAGAGTGATTGATGGATAAAGGTCTAAAGTTGAGGTTGGTGTCAATTTGGGTTGAGTTTCCACCATCATTTTGCGACACAGAAGTGACTGTTTTGTTTCTAGCAGACCGACTTGTAGGAGGAAACCGCTGCGTTATAGTTTCCTTGATCCATGCGTAGCTGCCGTCCATGTAAGACTTGAATATGTCAGGGACATTAGCAGCCCCGCACTGCACTCCGCCTGATAGAGCGCCCACCAGCTTGTACCGCCCGTCCTCAAAACTAGGACAGGCCAATGGCGACCCTTCGTCTCCCTGACAAATTAATAATTTTATTTTATTATTATATTGTGACGATAGAAAAATTATGTAAAAAATTACACACCGTTTCTGCTAAATTTATCTTACACTTTAAAAAGAAAAGTAAAAGTTGTGTTTTTCCGATCAACTTGTCACCAAATCGAAGCTCCTGTTTTCCCAGGGCCAGAGATTTATAAAGAAATAACTTAGCCACTGATACTAATTTCTTCTAAAATTCAATTAATAGCCATAAAATTCATTTTGATGGTTTAGATTTAGTACAGTTTTGAATGAAAAAAAGAAACGAGCCTTCAAAATCAGTGGACAAACTTAGCAACATTCTCATGATTTCTGAAATTTTATTTTTAACGAATAAAAAAATACTTGCCCACTTCCATTTTCATGTAGCGGATACAAGCTAAACAGTAAATATATAAGTTTGTTTCAAGTTTTAGGAAAGTTTCAAGAAGGGCTGATGAATTGAAACATGTCTTATTCTGTGTCTTTAAAATAAATAAAGCACTTGGATTGAACAGGAACATATGTACATTTGTTTCAGGAACTTCCAAAATCAACGAAAACATTGATAAATACAAATATAAAATATGGGATTGATGGGATGATATGGGATGAAAAATGATTGGGATGATAAATACAAATATATCCAAAAGTCGTCCCAAAACAATTTTTTCCAGTTTACAGTTCAGAATCAGCAAGCAGTGAGCCATGGAACCTCCGACTCACCATGCATGTTCCAGGTCTTTCCACTCCGCCACCACAGAAAAATCCTTCAAACAGGAAGAAATTTGGTCCAAGAACAGACTGCCGCAGCAACTGAGTGCACGTGTCCACGTCAACAATTGGGATGTTGATGCGTTTCTGAATTTCTACGAATTCGAATGTATCTGTAGGCCAGGAAAAATTTTAAGATGCATACCAGCACCAGCACTTACTGGGCAATAAGAGAATTCTGGCCAAAGGGAGAATTCTGGCCAAAGGAATGTTCGTAATAGCCACGCTAATTTCCACTCATCTGCATCATGTTACTTTACATTGTCTTCTATTAACAACCAATTTAAGCTGGTAAACTTTAGCTCATAATCCTAGAAATGATACCCAAGATACATGTTGTATAATTATCATTTATTATTCATTATAAGTCTGTAAATGAAGATGATAATGCGATCTGATAAAACCGGGAAAAACAACCACAATATAATACTCATAAAAGCCATAAGGCGACAAACGATCGTCACTTCAATTCGTGAAGTACAAAGCAACTGATCGTGGGAATTATGAGGCAATGAGCAGTGCAGCACCTTGGCTCGGTATGCCCCAGCCTCCCGAGATGCACTTGGTCCGGTCGACCTCCTCGAAGGTTTGTGCCAGGCAGATACTCTGCACGTTCGGGGCGTACACGGCCTCATCCTGCACAGCATTGCCAGGAATTTTAATGTCAGATTCATAAAATGATTCATCAAAAACCCGCTAACTGAGAGTCCGCTCGTCGTCTGCTAAACGGGTTTTGATCATTGTAGTGATTGAATAGAATATTGCTTGGTTTATTTGAATAATTTGTGTGATAGCCGAGTTGATTGCTTTAGTTATGAATTATTCAGCGAAAAAAAGCCAACAATTTACGTTTTGGGGTTTATATTAGCAAAGAACCCGAGTTTAACCACTCTGGAAACAGTGCTCCTTGTCTGAGGAGGAGCTTATAGGATCTATAACTCACTCTAAGTACAATAAGCGCCATGTCGTTCTCAAGACTGGAGGCGTTGAAGCCAGGGTGGATGACATACTCCTGCACCACGTGTATAGGATCTATAACTCACTCTAAGTACAATAAGCGCCATGTCGTTCTCAAGACTGGAGGCGTTGAAGCGAGGGTGGATGACATACTCCTGCACCACGTGGTCCTGACGCGGCAGTGGAGGAGTCAGCGAAGTCCTGTTCCACTCGCCCAGCACGGCCACCATGTCGCTTACTGGCAAGCTGCCAAGATACGAGGCATTACAACACGAACAGCTTAGATATTCCTGCAGCGAGTATTAATATGATTTTTCATACTAAGAAAATCGAAAGGTAATCTTAAATGTCTGAGAATAAATTAGTGCCTGATGTTTTATAATTATTTATTCAACTAAACCCAGTTTCTCTCCAGCTGGCTGCAGGAAAGTTCAAATCATGAAGCGAAACTTTATGTAAGTATTAATTGAATGAATTAAACTGTAACACACAAAACTATCGTCTTCTTATATAGTATTGATGTCGTTATTTTATGCGAACAGATACACTTAACGAGCCGCGGGATGCAAACCACTGATTACTGCAATTAATCAATGCGAGTGCGCAGTGCCGACTGGTCACCCTACCCTGCGGTGCTTGGGCTTCAATTTTTATTGAGGGTGATCCTCTGTTCCCGCCAGTGACTTCGTACAAAAATTTTAAGTGTACAAGACGCACAGAATACGACGGTAATGTCATGGTGAAAAGTAGGTACAAGAAAAGGAAGTGATGATCACCTGTTGACTCTAGTAGCAGTAGTGAGCACCACCTTGGGATGCACCAACGCACCACCACCAACCACCAGAGCACCGCCACCCGAGGTGTTAAGTAGCAACACAACCCACGGCAGCTCAGCCACCTGCGCCTGGTCGAACCGCAGCGGTGAATCTGTCGAGTGCTGTCGACAGAATGAGAATGGTCATCATAAAACCATTAATACTCGTGATATTTAACTTAAACATCATTGATAATGCCATTAAATATGCAAAATAATACCCATAAACACCCTTGATGATTATAGAGAATACGCCAAAAAAATTTTTAAATCTCATTGCGTCACTGATAAAAAAAAACAGGAACGGTCCGACTGACGTATTAATACACAGCTTTCAATTACACACTGAATGTAATAAAAAATGGTTTTCAACTTTGATATTGCATAAATACACTTTTCTGACAGTTTTGATCGTCGTTGACATTGATTCAACGAAACAACGTTTAGTTCAATGTTTATCTAGCGTCAAATGTCTGATAAATCTTTGAAATTTCTTTTCTCCCTTGATGAGCGCCACTGGACCACAAGCCAAGCATGCACACAGCCATATTAGAGTTAAGTAGAGTAACTGTTACACTGTAGACTGGAGTTAAGTAGAGTGACTAGTCCTCCACTTCCTCAGATCCCCCCAGGATACAAGCAGCACCCGCACGTAGCTGGGCTGGTACCCGTCTACAAGCAGCACCTAGCACCTGCACGTGGCTCAGCTGGTACCCGTCTACAAGCAGCACCTGCACGTGGCTGGGCTGGTACCCGTCTACAAGCAGCACCTGCACGTGGCTGGGCTGGTACCCGTCGCACCCGCCGTCGTCGTAGAAGAAGGACCCCGCCGTCAGCCCGGGGCCCGACGCCCCCACCACCGCGGCGGCTCCGCTGCTCGGCTCAGGCAGCGGCTCCTCCAGACGACCGAACCTGACGAGAACACGACTTTTTTTTTTTGTTCCAGGCTGGCCATATTTCAGAGGGAAGTCTCGGGGGCAAATGAGGCTAGAGAAACGGTAACTTTAGGGATTTTTTCAAAACCCTATGAGTAACGTAGGTACCTATACAACTTAATGCCGATCATTAAGATATTAATTAGCTTATAAAGATATTATTCTTGAAGTCTATGTTCTGAATTATCACGAATAATTCTTGCACGAGCCAAAGCTTCTAATTCCTCTTTGGATTCTACATTTATCCATCGGACATCCCAGTCGAGGCTAAGTATTTCCAGGCACTGACCTCTGGATGAGGATATCGTGAATCCACGTCATCGCGGTGCCCGTGTAGTCACTGAAAATATCAGGCATGCCCTCCGTGGCGCACTCAACGCCCCCCGACAGTGCCCCCACCAGAAGGTACTGTCCTGTCGCGAAGCTCGGGCATGTCAGCGGCCCTCCTTGGTCGCCCTGAAATGTCATCTTCAGTGAGTTGTAACAAATTTTATGAAAAACGGCTACACAAAAATATGCACAACCCTCCACCATACCCCTCAACCACACCCTTCCACCACACCCCTCCACCACACCCCTCCACCACACCCCTCCACCACACCCCTCCACCACACCCTTCCACCACACCCCTCCACCACACCCCTCCACCACACCCCTCCACCACACCCCTCCACCACACCCCTCCATCGCACCCCTCCACCACACCCCTCCACCACACTCCTCCACCATACCCCTCCGTCATGCCCCTCAACCATACCCCTCCACCACACCCCGCTATCATGCCCCTCCGTCATTCCCCTCATCATGTCCCCCCCTCCTATACTCACGATGCAGGTGCCGGGTTGCCCCGTGCCGCCGGCACAGAAGGCGCTGGGGTGGAGGTTGAAGTCCTCGCCGAGGTCTGTACGGCGCAGCGCCGCGACGCAGTCCGAGCGGTCCATGAACGGCACCCGGGCCCTCTTCTGGATGTTCGAGTACACCTGCTCGACTGCGCGTCATTTGCAGAAGATAAATTATGGGGAATAATTTATCTTGAGCCACTAAATTCAAGAGTAGGGAATACTTGATTTCTGAATATGAAATATATTAGACGAAACAGATCGAAATTACCTTTACTATGTCATTACCTTTTTTATTAAAGTCAAATTTAGTTGGAGAAATCTTGAAAAAGCCTAATTAAAGCCGCGAGGACAGGATATATCTTCACTAGGTATTTGATGACCGTCATAAATTGTCCAGTCATGGTGCCCAGCCACTCACTGGAGACCATGGTGCCCCAGCCACTCACTAGAGTCCATGGTGCCCCAGCCACTCACTGGAGTCCATGGTGCCCAGCCACTCACTCGAGTCCATGGTGCCCCAGCCACTCACTCGAGTCCATGGTGCCCCAGCCACTCACTAGAGTCCATGGTGCCCCAGCCACTCACTCGAGTCCATGGTGCCCCAGCCACTCACTCGAGTCCATGGTGCCCCAGCCACTCACTCGAGTCCATGGTGCCCCAGCCACTCACTCGAGTCCATGGTGCCCCAGCCACTCACTCGAGTCCATGGTGCCCCAGCCACTCACTCGAGTCCATGGTGCCCCAGCCACTCACTCGAGTCCATGGTGCCCCAGCCACTCACTCGAGTCCATGGTGCCCCAGCCACTCACTCGAGTCCATGGTGCCCCAGCCACTCACTCGAGTCCATGGTGCCCCAGCCACTCACTCGAGTCCATGGTGCCCCAGCCACTCACTCGAGTCCATGGTGCCCCAGCCACTCACTCGAGTCCATGGTGCCCCAGCCACTCACTCGAGTCCATGGTGCCCCAGCCACTCACTCGAGTCCATGGTGCCCCAGCCACTCACTCGAGTCCATGGTGCCCCAGCCACTCACTCGAGTCCATGGTGCCCCAGCCACTCACTCGAGTCCATGGTGCCCCAGCCACTCACTCGAGTCCATGGTGCCCCAGCCACTCACTCGAGTCCATGGTGCCCCAGCCACTCACTCGAGTCCATGGTGCCCCAGCCACTCACTCGAGTCCATGGTGCCCCAGCCACTCACTCGAGTCCATGGTGCCCCAGCCACTCACTCGAGTCCATGGTGCCCCAGCCACTCACTCGAGTCCATGGTGCCCCAGCCACTCACTCGAGTCCATGGTGCCCCAGCCACTCACTCGAGTCCATGGTGCCCCAGCCACTCACTCGAGTCCATGGTGCCCCAGCCACTCACTCGAGTCCATGGTGCCCCAGCCACTCACTCGAGTCCATGGTGCCCCAGCCACTCACTCGAGTCCATGGTGCCCCAGCCACTCACTCGAGTCCATGGTGCCCCAGCCACTCACTCGAGTCCATGGTGCCCCAGCCACTCACTCGAGTCCATGGTGCCCCAGCCACTCACTCGAGTCCATGGTGCCCCAGCCACTCACTCGAGTCCATGGTGCCCNTGCCACCGCCACCATAAGGCCAAGTAATGCCACCCCCACCATAAGGCCAAGTAATGCCACCGCCACCATAAGGCCAAGTAATGCCACCGCCACCATAAGGCCAAGTAATGCCACCCCCACCATAAGGCCAAGTAATGCCACCCCCACCATAAGGCCAAGTAATGCCACCCCCACCATAAGGCCAAGTAATGCCATCCCCACCATAAGGCCAAGTAATTCTACCCCCACCATAAGGCTAAGCCACTGACCGCCAGGATCAGGACGGCGATGTCGAAGGCCATGGGCTCCGGGGTGTGCTGGGGGTGGACGATGATGTCCCGCACGGCGATCTCTTGCGAGGGCAGCGGCTCGGTTTGCACGGAGCGATCCCACTCCCCCAGCACGGCGCTCACCCCTGCCACGCCTCCCAGGCTGGGCAAGGCATATTAATTTAGTGGGGTGAACATAAGACTGCGAATAACTTTTGTCTGGTTAATTTCTAGAGGAAACATTATTTGTGAATCAAACAAAATTTTCTTTGGTAACTCTCAGGCGTAATTGTTCACGCAAGCCATCGATGTCTCTTTTATTAAAGTCTCACTCTTGTCCAAATGGATGAGCCACGGTGAGCACGAGGCTGGGGTGGATGAGTGCCCCCGCCCCGCGTACCGACCCATCAGCGTTCACAAGAAGCACAGCCCAGGGCAGCTCCCCGAACTGGGCATGATAGACCTCCAGCCGCGACGAGTCGACACCCTGCAAGATATGGAGGACCTCTGAGCGAAAGCTGGCGAGCTGGTCTTCCTTAGGACGGCAGTCTCTACTGATCGAGAGATCTCTTGTACGTCATTCCGTCGAAGCAGGCGTGGCTTGTCACCTAATACGAGAAAGCTTAACCGCAAACAAAGTGACAAGTGAAATAATTCATTGAAAACATTTTTCAAACATTCTGTTTTAATCATAAATCTGGTAATGTCCTTCGCAAGTGACAGGAAAAGAAAGATAATCTTGCACATTTTTGCACCAGTAACCGCAGGTAGTCAGGCTTCCCGGACATTACTTATCTTTTATGGGACAATATTTTTATTTTTGTCATCTGACAAAATTATTACCAGGACATTAATTATCTTTTAAGCCCAACAATAAATTAGGAATTGGAGGACAGAAAATAAAAATGCACTATTAGTTGAAAGCTGCTACGTAGGTAGTAAAGGAGATCTGAAAGCACATGATAAACTCGAAAATATACCCAAAAATTCATCAGAGAAAATAATTACAAATAAATTATTCACTAATAAATAAATGAGCTCTACGTAGTTTTTCGTGGAAACAGGTTCTTAGCAATAGGTAATCCATATTTTACAACATGCCAATAGATGTGACGAAAACGTTAAAACCGATTTTATTGCTTCATTGCGCTACTAATTACAAGTTTTTTTGGTTAAAATCTCAATTAAAACGGCTATGAAAAACAGGATATACTTCAGTAAACCTCTGCAGCAGTGCTATCACATTACCCTGCAGATGAGCATTCTTACCGGTATTTTGCCAGTGTTGAAATAGCCGTAGCAAAGTCGCTCATCTTTGTAAGCAACCGCAGGGCTCTGCAACAAAAGACGTTGATGGGATGTTGGCAAGTCGGGGGGAATAGCGCAGCAAACGTGCGAGCTATTATCACAGTTTTGTTGCGGAGCGTTCGCTTCAGCATATGACAGGTACTCTTCACGTGTAATGCCCGTTAATTGCATCATAACATCACAGACAGATTGCTTTACGCAAACACAACTACTGTTACTAAGTATAGGGCTACTTGACTGGCCGAGTGTGATTGGCAGATCACTTAAGGAGCAGCAAACATCATTGTTGTTTGTGCAATTAAAATTATTATTTACAGATCGAGGATCATCGATTCTAAAACTAACGACTAGATCATCAGGACACAACTCGTGATGAAGACATTCGCACTCTGGCGTAATGTCAGGTAATGCAGCAGCCGATCTCTTGAAAGATTTGTTTTGGTGGACTTTGCATGGTTTGGGTGCGTCATCAACGGGGCAACATACGTCGCTTTCAAAAGGGCATTTCTCATAATTAACATCATAGTCATCTATGAAGGCGTTACTCATAGTGGGAATTCCTTGAGCACAAGTATATTCCGGCACACAAATGCAACAAACAAAAAATCTCAAAGCCGCTGCCCCGTCCGTTACATTTGTGGTCGGCCGCTGCAGGCGCGGTGAGTCTCCAAGAGCGACGGGGGGCGTGAGCGGCCTCCTTGACCGTTCTCGCTGTCGCTGCCGTCTTCTCTCGATGAGGCTGTTGATGCGCGACTCTTGTGTCGGCTTCTCGTATGGTGGCTCTTCTGGCTCCAGTGCAAGTGTTGCTTCGGAGATGTTCGTCCAGGCCCACCAAGGGAATACTTCCTTTCCACCATGTCTGAAGTTCCCCATCACACCCCATGTCCCCCACGTTACTAAAATGATAACCAAATGAGAAGAGATACGCATTTGCTGCTAGTTGAATTTTGTTTCTATAAAAAATTTAATCTGGAAGGAGAAGAAACGGTATAAGGATATTACGTGATTAGATCACAGGTGCAATTTAAATTATACATACACACGGAATTAATGAGCGAATATTTTGTCGGACCTGTCGGAGGAACTGCAATCAATTCGTCAAGGATGTGACGCGACTTTAGGACAAATTTATTCATCTACAACTTATATTTTTATGTAATTTATGTATCTTTTTATTGTTGGTTATATAATCTTCCAATCTTTGACTGTTATATAATCTTAGGTGGAACCACATGCTACATGTGTGCAGAGCGGAGCGAGCTCTTTTTAGACCTTGGAACTCGAGTTAGTTTCTCCACCAGAGTTCGCAGTTTATAAAAACTTGCCAGATAAATGCTGTGTCATTTCAGGAAATTACCTGGTCATGCGGAGTTTGGGCTACAGAGAATGTTGAATTAATTGCACTAGGATTTGGACGCAGCTTGAAGTGTACGAGACTATGCACAAAACTGCATTCAAAACGACGCTGATCGAATGGAGCACGAGAAAGAAAAAATCAGCGTAGAAATCCCTTACTAGAGCTGAATAAAAAGCTACAATCACTAAAACGAGTGACTGCATAACACGCTGAGTGAAATTCAGGATCGCTACTAGATAACGTACACTGTTAGAAAAAACGTTGAAAAAACGGTCCCACTGGCGTTCTAGTGGCCGGTCGCCCCGTGAAAATAAACTGTTTCGCCGCTTTTATCAGATGTTTTACGGATTTCTAGTGTTAAATTAGAATAAAAACGGCGACACGGTGTTTCTTTTCACGTGCCGACCGGCCACTGAAACGCCGGTAATACCGTTAACGGTAATTTTTCTAACAGTGTACGTACTTGTCCATACTCGACCAATAAATTAAATAACCGTTAAAGTTTAGACAAACATTTATTATATGTTTACCTAATTGACTAGACCACGCCCTGCACATAAATATTCTATGTACTTTGAACAACATGGTGACATTGAACTAAACTCGAGACATCAACTCTTCCAAGACAGTAAGCTTTTCTCCCCTTAACTCGATCGTACTGCCCTCGGTGACATTTAACGGTGCATCATGCAGCGGTAGGCATGAGGATGTTGTACGTGCAAACGGTAATATACCTAATGTCCGCGACTGCTTCACTCAGTTCAGCATAACATTATGCACTAATTTTATCCGTCTCCATCTTTTTGGCATACAATAGTACATAAAAAAATATAAATGTTCAGTCGACCACCATACGCATCTGCGTGCGTCATCGCTACGTTTCTTGACACGTTTAAGGCGGAATCAATTAGCAAAGGGATGATAAATGTATTGCTCGACTATCTTGTACCGCATTGCCTATACAAAGTTCAGCTCGGATTTCCAATCATTCCCTTCATTCCTAAATAGCGACAAATATTGCTTCGAGCCTCGATTTTCAATCACTGTTAAATTATTTTGCCAGCATTCTCTGAACTGAAGATAAGAAATTCCTTTATTTACAATTTTTATCCTTACGAATCATCTCTTTTGCAGTGGACTCTTTCTGCGGTTCGTGATGGGGCCGTTTTCATGGATAAATACACCTTATCGTATATTTCACTGTCAAGCAAGATATTATTGTTAGATAAATTAAAAAGAAAAAGCTTCAAAAAATCTCGTCATGTTTCAGTGAATTAATAAATTCTGCCAGTCACGCGTCTTTGACGGTGCAGATTCCATCTAGATGACCATTTTTGCTGCGGGGTTTTCAGGGTCAAAACTTATTTGTGATTCTTGAATCTGAACAATTTTTGAAGATTAAAATATACTGTATAATAGAAACAGTTGCATCTAAAGTATGATTGATGGATATTTTAGCGCGTGGCTTTTACTACGAATCTGATAATTCAATGTGTGACTTAAATTTTTAAAATATTTACTCAGTTATACTTAATTAATTGAGGAAAGAGATTAATATACAATATAATTATTTTCCGATATTTAGTAACGGCTTAAAAGCACGCAACTAATTGCTCCTTGAAGTTCCTCACCGAAATATCTCTAAAAACATTATTTCAGACGCTCACATGTCGAATGTTTGAATCTAACACTTGGAATATCTAAGTCTGGATCAGAAAAGTCAGGCGAGACGGTCTCAATTGGATGGGCTCATATTGAAGAGAGCCGCTCGCGCTCAGTTTTAGCTTTTTCTAAAGAGAGACATTCATTAAAGAAGCTACTCATTAAATTAGATACCAGCCGCTATTTCACTGAGTTTCCACAGAAATCGTTTACGAGATATATTTATGTCGTATTAACTTTTCCAATAATGTCAGTCACATAAAGCTTATTACTTTACTTAAGGGGAGCGTCTACCCTAAAATTTATCTCGGCTAATTACAGACGGATCACTCTGAAACTTGGTACACTCATGTGAAATGGAAAAAAACTCGCATTTTGTTCATGTGAATTTTTCGAAAAAAATGAAAGAAAATGAAATTCTTAGAAAACGGCCAAAAAGGGGGTACGTACCGTAGAAATCTATCTCCTCCTAGAATTTTCAAGCTACGACATCGAAACACATATCATTCAATGCGTAAGGACCATATCTACAAAACTGTGTAGGCGTTTTTTTTTTATTTTTATAACTTTCGTGGGCGGGATACCATTTATTTTAAATTTTTCGGAAATTTTTCGATTTTTCCGATTTTTTCCCCACTTTTTACTAAATAAAATCTAAACTATAACGAAATTGGAAAAACGCCTACATAACTTTGTAGATAAGTATTTAAAAGCAAAGAAAAGTCCACAAAAATTCATATCTTTATAGAAAACATTTCGGAGACAAGCTCCATCGTCAGTTCGTAGAATCTAGAATCACAAATCAGAAGTCACAAATTAATACATTGAAAGCACAGAACAAAATTAAAAACCTAAATTTAGAAGTAATGGACGGAGCAAAAAAAACTATCTATTAACAATTTCAAGGGGATAAGAGCTAGCAGCTGAATTCAAACTGGGCCTAAGTTTAAAGATGTACAGCGATTCTAAAATGCGCAAATCGGAATTCCCGGAGGTGGAAGCTAACACCCTAAAATCACTGTCAGAAACAGGGACATCACACTGCTCGGCGTGAGCGCGCACAGCCAAATGAGGTGGGCGCGATAGCAACTGCCCGGTTCTACAACTCCTGCCCTTATGCTCAGAGACCCTGGAATAAAGATTACGTGACGTCATCCCGACGTACGCAGATGCACATCGTGCACAACAATATTGATAAACCAGGGACGATCGCACATGAACAGGGAGCATATCTTTATATCTAAAGAAAGAACCGATTGTGAAATTGTTTACCAGCACAATATGAAGATTGACATTTGGGAAGTATCTATTGAACAAGACTTTTAATTCTCTTGACATAGCTTCGGACGCAGGGCCGAACTATGGAAAAGAAAAATAAATAACTTTCCAACTATCGCGCTCAGGAGCAACCTCACTGTATCGCTTCGACATGAATTTCTTGATATGGGTAAACACCAAACTTGCCTGAAATCCATTAAGCGAGAAAATATTATTGCGTAAAAATTCAAATTCAGCGTGCATAGCATCTGCATGCACACCTCCTCATACGACGCCAGGCGGGTAACTAAGATGCACCTCAATCAGACACTCTATTTAGAGTGCTCGCAGCGAATTTCCTCCCATTCTATTCGTTAAAGAACTCCCCCTTACATGATCTGTCGTGAACGCATAAATAAACGTACAGAGATTGTTTTGGTACCGTTGGATAGGTCAGAATGTCAGCTTTAAGATGAGACTAAAAACCGGAAAAACTAAAATGCAAAATTTTAGGGTAGACGCTCCCCTTAATTAGATCTCTTGATATTCACTTAATAATTCTCATGAATAGAACTTTTAATTATATATACTTCGTATTATCTGTTCGCCTTAGATTTTTTTCAAATTATTTTCATCATAACACATTAAATGGGGAGTCCAACAATTTTTTTGATGGAAAGTCATAATGCAATTATTGTAATTCGAAACCACCTGAGATGAAATTAAACGATAAACAGCAGACTTGCACGCTATTAACAGGAGATAAAAATTTGGCAGCCGCAGTAAACTGTACGCCAGCATTATGCGGCAAATCATCGCATGTTTGGAATAAGAAACAAGTCAAATTTTACGATGTGTTACGATGTTCTCATTTCAAAATTTGCCACCATCGATGCCTTTATTTGGGCGCCGAGCTCTCTTCTTGTGTGAGACATCATGCCAATTAATTTTAATGCTATGAGTACATTAAGTTTTCCTGAGTGAAATGAAGAACCAAGTTCATAACCAGCGCTTTTCAATTCAATATTTGAGTCCTCGCAGTGAGCAGTTCAGGATTCCGCTCACCGCAAAAGGAGCCGTTTAAGAAATAAACGGCCTTGATATGAAGCGCAGTAGTTAAGTTACCGCAAAAGTCGCTTATTTTTACGCAGATATTTTTGTTCAGCGGTTAGACGAGGCGACTATTAGTTCAAATGAGTCGAGTCCGTTGCAAGCATTTGTCAGGTCGATAAAACCAGCGATAAATTAAAAGCCGGGCTTGAATTTGTACTCGAGCAGTTCATTTATTAAGGACATCTATATTTCACGATAAAGAATTTCATGCAATATATTTTTTTACTGCAATAATAAATTCATTCCAAAAAACCGCGTTGTTCAGAAAATTCTAAAAACTGATTTCACCATTGCAACAAAGAAATGAGCCTTACTCAATTAAAAATTTTCAACAATGAACACAGTTTTTGATCATAACTTGATAATTTCTCAAATTCAAAGCCATAAAATAACTCCTGCATCATTGCAATGAAAAAAGTTCATAAAAGTTTCTAAGCAAGCTCGTTGTCCTCCGCCAGGGAGATGAGTGATGGGGTTTATATTCTAATTATCACGTTCAATAAAGACGTCATAATTACGTCTCGAGTTCGTTCACAGTCCAGGGTAACAATTTTTTTGTATTTTTTTTAGTTTTA